TAAATCTAAGTATAAATATTTGGTAGTTGACTGTGAAAAAAATTAAGCTTAATGATAATCGTAATATAGAAAAATGACTTAATAGTAGTTTTTTATTCCTTTCTACTGTATTCCCATCAATATTCCCAATGCAGAAACTAAAGAAGAATTTTTCTGCTGAAAAGATTTTAAAACATGAGGTTAATTTTCTTGTGGAGGCCTGCAAATTGACATAGGAATTTAGGATTATACGTCTTGCTTGGTAAGAGGGAATTAAGCACTAATTATAGATGCCTTTTATTATAAGTTTAATTGATCTATTAATCTATCATTACTTCTCACTACTTCTGCCAGTGACAGGAATAATCAGAAATAAGTACCTTTTTTTCCTAAAGATATCTATAATATTCAATTTCACAACATCCTAATGAAGCAATTTCTTATCATAATATCCATATTACAGATCAGGAAGCTAGAAAATTATGTAAACGTACAGGGTCACAGATACAGAAAGATATTTTGAATTTTTTATTTTGTGCTCAGTTCATGAAGTTACTAATACAGCTGTGTGTTTGTGGGCTTAGGTAAATGGGAGGGGGTCATTAATAGAAACTAGAAGATTGGGAGAGAGATGGAGTTGTGTGTAATGGGGAAAGGAGAGCAGGGTGAATTCCTTGTGGGATAGATTGAGTAAGAGGAGTCAACAAGTAAACTAAATGACAAGATCTGATAAGAAGCAGACACTGTGTACCTGGATTTGGCTTAAAGATAAGAACTCAAGATAAGAATGTGTATACCATTGGAAGAGTGAGATAATTGCCCTAACATGTTTGCTATCATAGATAGAATGGTAAGCAGTATAAACATATTTTTTTAAAACAACCATGGTAAGCTTCAAGCACATATGGAAGAGAATAATCAGAAATCATTTCATTACTGTCATTTGGTACTTCACAGAAATATTCAGTGGAATGGTGGTGGGAGGAATATCTTCTGTCTGACAGATGCTCTCTGAATGATCTGAGCAGATACTTTGTCTTTGGGAAATCCAGCTAATCTAAGTTGCAACGAAGAAGTTACTGCTTTACTGCCCCTTCCACACTTTATAGAAAAAAACTTGTCTGAAGTTTAATCAAGTTTGTTGCTATTAGAATTTTTTCTGTATATCATTATTAAAGACTATGATATATGCATTTTAAAACTATTCATTTTACATAGATTCAAATATTTTTAATACATTCACTTGATTCATACTCAGAAAAATATGCAATGAAAAAGTCTTCTTTTCCTCCCCTCATTTTACCCTCCAAGTTTCCCTCTCACAAGCAACCAACATTATCAGTGAAAATAAAAAAGAAAGCTTTTTTTTTTGAGGGTTTGCTATTACATTACAAGGAAGAAAAACTTGGTAATTGAGTTTTATATGGTGGTTCCTCCAGATAGATATGGCTATTAAGTCATAAAATAACATTACAACATTAGGTAATGGGTAATATATTTGCCCTTATAGTTTGTAGCTGTAACTAACCCATGAAGAAGTCCTATAATGAAACTTTGTTTTGCTCCATCTCATATGTGTTGTTAAGATTGTATAACTTTTAAAAAACATACCCTTGCCCTGGCTGGTTTGGGTCAGCGGTTAGAGCATCGGCCCGCGGTCCTGAGAGACCCAGGTTCGGTTCCCGCTAAGGGCACATACCTTGGTTGCAGTTTGTCCCTGGCCCGGTTGGGGTCGTGTGGGTGGCAGCCAGTCAATGTGTCTCTCTCACATCAATGTTTCCCTCTCTCTCTCTTCTTCCCTCTCTCCCTCTCACTCTAATGTATGTAAAAGTGTCCTTGGGTAAGGATAAAACAAAAATTGAAAAAAAAACTTACCTTTGAGTACTGAGGGCACTCACCCAAGTGTCTACAAATGATTCCATCAATACTTTGCACAGAGACAACAGTGACTGCCCAAAAGGGGGGTTAGTATTTTATTAACATTATAATACTATATTTATTAGAGAATGCTCCAATTCTTACCAACAATTTTAAAAGGGAATTCAGAATTCCCTGAAAAAATACCAAAGAGAGTCATATTCCTGGAAAAAAGTTATGGAATAATTCTGACTGTATCTTATTTTTAATTTAAAAATTTAAAGTTAATAGTGACCTTCTTAAACCAACAGGAATATGTTCAAAATCATAAATCCTAGGAAGAAAAAAGCAAGCTTATTTGCTTAGTGAATTAATGTCTAGCAACAGACAAATATATACATTTTCCCACAAAGCCATTTCCAAATTTATAATATTTATTTCTTCTACTCTGTTAATCTTTAGCTGAGCCAGCTTTGAGCAACTGTGTAGGGGAGAGATAACCTGATCTTCAGTTTAAGAGAATACTCCAATTAAAAGAGTTTATTTTAGTAAAGATTCAAAAATATTTTGTGCCAAAGTTAAACCAACTACAGGACAGAAAGGATTCCAGACTTTGCATTCTTTGAGCACTCATGACTTGGGTAGAAAAATGACATATAGTCTTGGCTTAATGTACATAATTAGTGGCATAAAGGCTGACTCAAAACTTGAGAAGATAAATGGAAAGTAAAATTATAATCATGAAGTTTCTAAAGGACCTTAGATACTATATAATCTGATTCTCTTATTATGAGAAAAATTGAGATTTAAGAGAAGTTAAGAGACTCTCATTTTACACAGTATACTGCAGAATGTGGAACTTGAGCCTGGGTAATCTGACTACATCAATGCATTCTGCACTCTAATAAACCTGCGTGTTAGGAGATACCATGATTTTCTAATTTTTTAAGAGATTATTTTATAGTTTTCTATTAATTAATAATTTCCAGGAATTCTTATCTAAATATCTAGGTTAGTTAAGTGCTCTGTTTCTGGGCTTATACCCACTCCAATTTTAACTCTTTAGTACAACTTATCGACATTTGATGTGCTTGTCTTACCCGTACTGGACTGTAAATTCCCTGAAAGTTGTAACTGACTCTTAATCCTTATTGTACCCTATGCTTGGCACACACTATTCAGTCATCAAAAATACTATTTAAATTGATCTATCCCTGAAACCCTTCAAAGGCTCACCATGATCTGACCTCTGCCTACTTCTCTAACCTCATATCCTCAAATTATGGCATCAAATTGCTCTTAGTTTTAGTTCTGTGTAAAGATAAGTTTCTCATGGGATCGTTTCCTTCAAGCAATCCCTTTCTTCTTTTATCCTCCCCTCTCTCCCATGCCCCCACACATCCCACTTCATTAACTCTCTGTAATAATTTTCTCCTGGAAGTATTTACTGACTCGTGACCTCTCCCAACCTCAAATGGATTAATGCTCCTTCTGAAAACCAGCAGTTAGTTTCCTGCACACGTATTTCTGCATTACACCATCACATCATAAGGTAATAATGCAAACAGTCCACCCAAGTTGTTTTATTCATGGTGGTGTCCTCCATGATTAGTATACTGTCTGGCACATAGATGGTTTTAATATATAATTTGAATAAACAGAACAGATTACAGGGAAGTAACTTTGGCACAGTGTATTTTAGGGAAGCCATAGATGTAGAAATGCAAATAAATGAATAATTGGTATATTTTCCTGAGACAGAACTCAAAATAATAGAAAAGACTTTCAATTTTGAGAGTACAATTCAAATTACCAAACATTAACAAAGGCCCTTATGAGAAACGATATTAAAATGGGATTTGGCTATTAATAAAGATAAAGATTAGAAACCAGGAAAGCAAGACATTGACTGGTTATCATAGGATACCGGGGCACTTACAACTATGTTAAAAATGCATATGAAGAAGAAAAACCGGAGGTTCAATGATATTCCAAACCTGCCCCCCAAATGGCCTAGACTACAAGCCATCACAATTATTCCCAAACCAGTACGCAAAGCTTTTTCTTTCAAATTTATTTTTATTATGGTAAAATATACACACAATTTGCCATTGAACCATTTTACAAGGTACAGTTCAGTGCCATTAAGTACACTCATATTGTTCAACAACCATGACCACTATCCATCCTCTTAATTCGCTTTTAACACACACTGCAGCCGCTATCTCCTTCTTTTCATTAACTTTGCTTTAGTAACATACTGAGCTTTATGCACCACAAAACTCTCTGCTGGATTCCACTCAGAAACTGGGATGGGTGAAGTAAATCACTGAAGAATTAACTGTCACAAGCTATCCAAACTATATGCTTCTGTTCATGGAATTTAAGAGGCAAAGCCTCTCTTCTTCGCCCCCTTCCCGCCCTCTTGAGCATCAATAACTGACAAGTAACCATAACAGCACCCACATTTCTAAAAAAAAAAAGAAAAAATCAACAACTGAGTCCCCTACAGGCAACTGGTTGAGAGCCAGCTTGGATCTCCCGCAGCTTCTTTTCCTACTGCACAAAAAGCACAGGGCAGGGACGCGGTTCTTCATCCGGGACTACAGGGAGTGGGTGAAGAAGAGGGAAACATAAAGAACAACGTGAGAAACACTGCTGAAGGATCAGTACTCCCTCTTTTTGCCCTGTTTTGGTTCCCTATGCTTCAGCGTAACCCACCCAGGCTCTACACTTGTTCCCTTAAACCCGCAGCCCGGCCAGTCCGCTGGGGCTCGCGCTTCTTATTGACGCAGATCTCCCATTCTCGCGGGAACTTGGGAGCGGGAGCCGCATAGGACGGACGAATCTCTCGAAATCTCGGTTGGCTCTGGAGCTAGAGCAGCGGCTGTGGGCACAAGAGGAGGAGGAGAGGCGGGGCGCAAGGCTTGGAAGGGGCGGGGCCTAGGCTCAAAGAGGGGAGGGAACAGGCCAGAGGGGGAGGTGAGAGAAGGCCGGGGGCGGGGCCGGGTGGCCCGGGACCTGTTGATCGCAGGTAGCGCGGACTGGCCCCGAGTCCCTCGGGACTGGAACGAGTGCGCATGCTCGCGGGCCTCGCTGGGCCAGTAGCCGAGCGGCGGTGACGAACCGGCTCTTCTGCTGCGGTGGTTGCGGTTGCTGCGATGGCGATGTGAGGGGCCCCGAGGCGGGATGGTGCTTACCCGGGAAGGGCCGTATTCTTCCAGTAGGACAACGAACTCCTCCGTCCGACAGGCGGTGGAGGTGGCCGATCCGGGCGAAAGGTAAGCCCCTCACTGTCTTCTCGGTCTCCCCCGGCTCCGGACACCCACGACCCCTCCCTCCTCTTCTTTCCCACGGGCCGGGCAGGAAGCGGCCTCCTTCTCGCCGTCCCCCTCGTCCGCTCCAGTTCCTCACCCGGCTGCTCCCGGTCGGAGGCGGGTCCCAGGCCCGCTGAAGGTCGGTGGGGACGGCGGTGCAGAGTGCGCTCGGGGTGTTGAGGGGCCTCGGTGCGCCTCTCGCGGGTTCCCCCTGCGGTCCTTAAACAGGCGCGTCCCTTGGTCGGCGGTGCCTGAACCTCACTTCTGCGGTTCCCAGACTTCGCTTGTCCTTCGCCCTCTGTCCATCCCCTCTCCCCTGTCCTGTATTTACCCTCATCTCTGGGTTCTGCTCTTTCGTCCCCGCCTCCCACGTGCCTTTTCGCCTTGGTGGTCGGTCCCTCCTTTCACTCCCCTGGATTTCTTCTCCCTCGCTGTGCATCCCTAGTCTGGCTCTTTTTCGACGTTCTTGACCCTCACCGACCGCGGTTCTCACTTTGTTGCCTCTCTAGTTTTTTTCCTTGGCTCCCTTTTCTCATATATCTTCTTTCGGGACTTCATCATCGTTGTCTTTTGTTTCTGATTGTGCGTTTTGCTTTAGCATCCTTTGAGTTGGTTCTGACCCCCCCCCCCCCCATCCCTTCGGAGGCCCTCACTCTCTTAATCCTTCGCTCTCTTTTGGTACCCAACTTCATCGCTTTCCGCCTAATGGCCCCTGTCCTTGAGTCTTTTTTACATTCTGATCCCATTCCTTGTCTCTAAGTCTTGGGTACGTCCTCCCCAAACTGTTTTTTGTATTTGCGTAGGTCCAGCCTCTTAATTTCAATCCGTGTGTTTAACTTTCTCGAATCTCAACAGTTCTAGTCTCTCCTGCTTTCTACCTAAGCTAGATATCCACTCAATATATTTAGTTCAGCTTCCACTTTATTAAAATCTCTTCACCTTCTTTCTTCACTGACTGGAAATATCACCAAAAGAGTGACAGTAGCAATAACCTGTTACACTTACTGATTGAAGCTTTAATTTTAAGGAATTGTGTTCACCTGACATTCCAGGAGAAACAACTTGAGTGCAGACTTGATGAAAGTGTAAAGGACTAAGATTTGTTAAAGGCTGAGTTACAAACATAAGTCTTAAATTTGGAAATTTTATTGTCCTCCAGGAAATACAGTTGTCCAAGAACTAGTCTTAATTGAATTTAACAAAGTTTTTTTTATATAAAATTAGGTATTAATTTTTATACATTTGCTATTGCGATTGATTGCATCATTCTCCTGATGTTCTGTGTTCCCTTTAGTAAATGCACACAATTTCTACTAACTTAAGAATAGAATTAGTGTGCTTACTGAATGAGAAATATGTGGGAACACAAGCATTAATTGGGCAAAAGAACTTTCTAAACAGTTTTGAAAAAAATTTCCCCATCTCCTTGTGATCAAGATTTGGCTTACATAAAATGTGTCTCTATATAAATCATGATATAGTGCCTTATTTTGAAGGCATCTGCGGAAGCAGTTGCTTTCAGTTAGCCTCTATTCTGGATTTGAAGATCGACTGAATTATGTATTTCTTTATGAAATGTCAAGGCAGTCCACAACCAGTAAATTCTTCCTATGTTGTCTATGTCAGGTAGGAATTAAATTTTTCGGTTTCTGTTGTGCAAAGGGAAACATCAGGGTGACAAAGTATAGTTTCTTATTTGAAGTGATAGTAGAGGTAAAGGTAGAGGGAGATACGGTTTAAGATCTGATGTCATTAAGCCACATCTCTTTTGGAAGAATTGGCAGTTATTGTGTGTGGTACAAGATGATAAACTCCTCAGCTTTTAAGATTTTTAAAAAATTATTTTTCCAATGCAGATAGATAACTGCTGCTTCTGAAGGAAGCTTTCCTGCCTTTCAAAGGCAAGCCTTTTCTTTTTAGGTAGCTATTAAAAAAGTAAATGCTTACAAATTCTTATTGGTACTTTTTAGTGAGTTGATTCTATTCTGTGCTCTTAGAAATTAAAATAAGGATTCATGGTTGATAGTAGGTACAGGACTAGAAGTCAGAAGATCTAAACTCTTATGATGACTCATGACATTAATTTGTAGAAGCCACTTAGCCTCTATGACTTGGTGTCTCTACCTGTAATATGTGGGTAAAAAAAGTGGCCACCCAGTAATCTTTCAGTAGCAGAATAAGCCTTAATAATTTAAACATGCTTAGGGCCAACACAGAAAAAATAATTTCTATGTAAGTACTTAATTTTATCTCTTTTAGACTATTGTAGTAGTGTGTGATTGAATGCTTAAATTCCAAATCACTGGGATTTAGTTGTTTTTTATTTCAGCTGTCTGTGAAAAGCCTAGTAGAATGCTGTGGACTGTGGACTAGCTTAGATTAATGTTCATATACAGTGAAACATTCACTCCAGCATTCAGTATATAGAACAATGATGCCCTTTGTTCTCCAAGATTTGACACTGAAAATGTAAGAGTTATGCCTTTGGTTACCTACAAAGTTTCTCTTCTCTTATATTTTAGTTTTGTTTACTGTAGATATAGACCCTTGAGAATGAGAATTGTTAGGGGATTAGAAAGGGCAAGAATTTCTTTTGCTTGGACTCTAGGTATTGAGGAAAAACTGCTTAAAAGTGAGTTTTTTGATATGTACATGTGTATTTAAAGAAATGGATGTAGATGGGAGCATATAGATTTGAAGTGAGTGGTGTTTTTCTTCCCCCTTGAGTTGTCAGGAAGAACGTTTAGAAATGAATAAAAATAAGAAGCAGAGTGGTGATAAAAAAGAAAGCATTCTCTTTTTTTTGCAATTTTTATTAATTTATTTTTGTTACAGATGTTTCTTCTTTTTCCCCCCTAGACACCTTCCTCCCAATCCCACTCCCACTCCCACCCCACCCCACCCTACCCCCAACATTGGTTAGGCATGTGTGCATATAAAAAAGCATTCTTAATGGGCCCAATAGTTTTTCAAAAAAGTTATGAAGCACAGATTGTTAGGTCTAGATTTTTCAGCGGGAATAGAGTGGACCAACTCCACAGTGTGTTTTACCATTTTATTCTTAAATATTTCTGTTTTTTAACAGGTACATACTTGGTTACCAGTGATGTGCTAAATTTAATAAAAATTAGTCCCTTTTTTTCTTAATAGGAATATAAAAGTGTCAGGTATATACCATTAAGAAATATCTCCTACTTGAGTAACCCTTTAGGTGGTTCCTATTTTGATGAAACAGTTTTTATGAACTATCTGTCAACCAAGAGAACACTCTGAGAAAATTATAACATATTTCCTTCTATGGGATTAGGTCTCTTCAACTATCTGTAATATAAAAAGTATTTCTAAATTATGTTATTATATAGATGTATGTTATTGATAGTATTATGTTCTGTTAAGTGTTATGAAATTTTATTTTGCTACAATTCTTAATATATTCTGAACTAGAAGTATTTCCTTATGGAAATCCCCTTGAAGTTGCCTTATGAAATGCAGCTGCTTCATTCATGATTGTTTTTAGAACAGTGGTATCTCTGACACCTGCTCTTTGATATCTCCAAGTTGCCAGTAAGTTATTGGCTTCAATTGGAAATACATACTGCTAACTGTAAATGTCTAAGCAGTAAAGTGAGGGCTTAATAGTAATCACAGTTTAAGACCTTGGAAGCCTTTGCCATTACTTTTATCTTTGGGAATTAAAAAACCCAGATTTTGCCTGGCAAATGTGGCTCAGTGGTTGAGCGTCAGCCCATGCACGGAGAAGTCACCGGTTCGATTCCTGGTCAGGGCACATGCCCAGGTTGTAGGCCCAATCCCCAGTGGGGGGGCATGTAGGAGGTGGCCATTCGATGTTCTCTCTCATCGATGTTTCTATCTCTCTCTCTCCCTCTCCCTTCCTCTCTCTCTAAAATCAATAAAGAACAACAACAACAACAACAAACCCAGATTTTAAAACCACTCTTATTCTTACTCAGATTACTTCAAGACTGAAAGTTAGTTACTTTCCTCAGGCAGATAAAGATTAGACTGTAGGCTGTCACTATTCCTGTTTTGTAATCTTATAACTATTTTATGTCAAAGTATGATAATTATATAATGTAATGCTTGCCAAGGGCCCTAATTTGGTAAAGGAGTTCTGAAATAGTCCTTCAGGCAGGGGAACTAGAGAAATGTCAATAAGGAATAAAATCAGAAAAAACTAAATTAGAGAGTTGAAATATGTCTTGGTTTGTATGTGTGTGTGTGTGTGCGTGTGTGTGCGTGGCTTTTTTTGTTTGTTTGTTTTCTGTTTTTTCCCAAGATCTTAATTGGAGGCCAGCTATTCTCCCTTTAAAGCCCTGTGGCCTTTAAATGAAATGAAAATATTTTCAAGCCATGGAATTGAAACGGATACTAATAGCCTGTTTACTTGAGTGCATTATTTTGAATAGACATTGCCTTAAATGAAATCATATTTAAAAACTAAGATAAAATAAAACATCAGCAATTTATTAAGTGTCATGCTCAGTGCTTTGTATAAGTATGTGTGCATATATGTGTGTGTATATATATGTAAATGTATATATATGTACATAAAGAAATCTTTTTAAGCCTTACCTTTTGACTTAGCCCTAATAAATATTAATTCTTTTTGAGAAAATAAAGGCTTAGAAAGTCTGAATTAGAATCTAGGTCAGTCTGATACCAAAGTTAATTGTAGGCTGAAGAAAGCATAGGCAGTTAAGAAAACATTGTTTCTTAGAATATTTTTCAGAGAGAGAATTGTAATTCTTTTTGTTCTTGTTCTGAGCTTTTTTCTTTGTTGAAATAATTAATAAGATGAAATATTTTAAGGAATGCTGAGCATCTAGATCCCTGACTAGGTAGTAAATGATGACTGTGGTTCTTTCTGAATTTCTCTTTATGTTAAGAGGAGTAACTAGTTTTGGGTACTGTGGGTTATCCTGGGTTTTTCTTAAGTGTATAATAACATGATATATTCAAAGGCATTCTGTATTCTGTTACTGGCAGTTTTGTTTTATGGCATAGAAGTATCCCTGAAAAATGTATATGAACTGCTTTTGATAAACTAAATCCTGTTTTCCATATAATTTCAGAGATACCTTTCATTAAGTGTCCCATATTGAGCAGTAAAAGTTTTTCAGTTTCTTTACTTCATTCTCACATGTAATGTCAACCATGGAAATGCTCTCAGGAGTTCCTAACATTTTTCTTTTCTACATTATGTTTAAAAATAATTTTTTCTATTATTTTAACACAGTTATCCAAGTTAACAGTGTTCTGTTTTGAGAGTGCTTACCTCTTAATTTAAATGTCAGTTCTAACATTACTATAGTAATATGTTTTTCTTTTATTTGATAACTGTTTAAACCCAAATTTTAAAGAAATTAGAAGAGAACAATGTCTTTTTTTAAAATTTTTTTTACTCCTCACCAGAGGATATGTTCACTGATTTTGAGAGAGAGCGAGAGAGGCATCCATGTGAGAGAGAAACATTGATTGGTTGCCTCCCGCACGTGACCAGGATAAAACCTGCAATTTAGGTATGTGCCCTGACCAGGAATCGAACCTATTTCCTTTCAGGGTATGGGCTTATGCTTCAACCAACTGAGCCACATGGGCCAGGGCAAGAACAATGCCTTTAAAACTTCAGATACGGTGTTTGTGGGTGTGGGATGTGAGAAATTGGAAGACTTCATAGTTAGGGGAAAATCTTAATTAAATGGAAAATTGACTATAGTAATTTATCAAAAAAAATTTACCAATTTTTTTATGCTTGCATTCCGATTTCAGTTTTTGTTTTATTATGGGTATATTTATCTTACGGCTTGATGATCAGTGAATCTGTTTCCTATAACAATTCAGATGTAGGCTTTAGAAATATGCAAGTTTAAATACAAATTGTGGAGTTTTACACATTTGAGGTTTTTATCCTTTTTCATTATTTCCTAACTGTGACCTTGGATGAATTATGTGAACATTTTGGTCCTTAGTTTGCTCACCTATAAAGTGGAGTAATAATAGCTCTTTCACATTTTTATGAGATTAAATAAAGTGGCATCGTTAAAGTTACTGTGTAAGAGTAGGTCCTCCAGAAAGTTCTGAGTGTCTCTTTGGTTTCTATTTGATCTGAATTTGGAATCAAGAGGGAAACATAGAGCTCTTTTAAAAGTTTGTCTATCAAGCTATTCTCATTGTCTTTCCTTTGAAGATCTCCCTCTTCTCTCCCCAAATGAGAATAATTTAGTACTCTATTCTTTTCTTAAATATTTCTATCATTTCTGCAGTATAGTATATGACTGGCCCTCAGGAGATCATTTTGATGACTAAGGAGTGGGAGCTATAGTTTTTAGACTAGTGATTTTTCTTACTTTACATGTCCCCTCTACTGTAATGATTCTGATAAACTCATCTTCACTATGAATCACTTTTTAAAGTGAAATGTCACTGATGAAAGTGTGTTGTGCATGTGAATAATTGTGAAGGCAAAAAGAAGGTTAAAGCTATCTGAGTGGTGGTGATTTTCAGAGTCAGACAAGTAACAGGTGGCTTGGCCATTTTAGAGCAGGATATAATCCAGTGACTTAGCATGTTTAACCTCTGTAACAGGGAGTTTACGAAACTAGGCAGAGTGTCAGGGCCTCAGCCAATCAAAAAGGAAACTGAATCAAGAAGTAGGACCATAGCTCAGAATTTATTCTAATGTTTTTAGTACCTAAAATAATTATACCAAGGGCAAATGATTTTTTTTTTTTTAATTTAAGCAATAAATATTTGGAGTTTGGAAAAAAACTATCCATAGCATATCCAGGCAATCTTTTGTCAAAATATTTTAAGTAGCTCATAGAGTGAGTGTGTGTGTGTGTGTACACACATACACACATTTCATTCAGAAATCATTTATCCAGGGAGTTATTTAATAATTATGAGTCCTACATCTTAAAAATTAATAGGTTTATAATGTTTTGGGCATTCATGAAGATTGTTTTGTTTCTGAACCACTGAACTAAATAGTCTTCTGTTTATTATTATGCTTTAAAGTATACACAAGTGGATCCTTATAAAAGATATAATAATTAATATTGGTATCAGTGAAACTGTCAATGAAAACAAAATGTCTAAAATGTATTCCTAAACTTACAGAGGATATAGATCTTTTTAAGATGCATTGAAAATATTAAGTAACTAACAAAGCATAGGTTTCCTTAAAGCGGACTTTTTTATGTTTACTATTTTGTTTAAGATGTTATTTTTTCTTTCTCATAGGAGGAACAATATATTTTTAACAAGAATCAATAACTGGAAGTACCAGATTTGTTATTTAATAATGTTAAAATGAATTTTTGATCAGCACAGGTAAGATTATGGCATTTATTTTGCTTTTAATTTATAATAGATCATTTGTGAGATGTCTATGAACTATTTTAAGAACTGTGAAAGGTCTAAGATTTTATCCCACTTGCAGGCTAACAAGTTAACTTGCAGCAAGTGCCTTGGATGTAGTCAGAAGATATGAGACTACTGGATCAAGGAGAAGAATAGTTTATACTCATAGCAATACCAGTAGCTAGAGTACCAGGCTCTACCTGCATATGAGTAGGTTGTGTTACACGAGAAGAACCCTGAGCTAAGGGTACCCAAATCTTTTATTTTGGACAATAAGCCTGCCTGACGTATGCCTCAGGTAGAAACTTTATCTGTATTACTTGGGACAGTAAACATATCTTCCCTTTGTTCCAGTATGAGATACTATCTCCCATTTCCTAAGACTTTGCTAAACACATCCTTGAAAAATAGTCTGGAACAGAGGCAGTCAGTGTTTCTGCTTGCAAGACATACAGAAACACAAGACTCTGGAAACTTGTCTTTAATAGCTTCTACTCTGAATTTCTTTTTTAAAGTGATAAAGATGATTGTTGTAGTACTTTTTTTGAAATAGTGAAAAGATGGAAACCACTGAAATACCCAATAACAGGAGACTGTTTAAATTATAACACTTACAGTGTAATAATTAACAATTAAAAATGTTATAAAACTATATTTATTGACATATATGTTCATCAGAAATATTAAGTGAGCCCTGGCTGGTGTGCTCAGCTGGCTGGAACATCGGACTATATACCAAAAGGTCATGAGTTCAGTTTCCTCCTAGTCAGGGCACATACCCAGGTTTCGGGTTCCATCCCCAATTGAGATGCGTATGGGAGGCAACTAAACTATATTTCTCTCTCACATTGATGTTTCTCTCCCCCTCTTCCTTCTTCTCTCTCAAAAATCAGTAAAAACATATCCCTGGGTGAAATTTAAAAAAATCAGTGAAATAAATGGGTTATAAAATGTACATGTGGTTTGATCCCACCTTTATAGAAATTGTACAAATGCACACACATGTGAAGAATATATACCAAAGTATATATTTCAGTGAATAGGATTGTGAATGTTTTATTTTGTGCTTTTCTTTATTATTTTTACCCTTTTGAAAATGAATACTTTAGGCTTTTGTAATGAAGAAGAAAAATTTTTTTTAATTTAAAGATGAATAGTAATTTAATAACTTCACCAAAAACATTCATGAATGTAAATGGGGATTAAAGATAATTCACTTTTGCCCTGGCTGGGTTTGCTCAGTGGTTAGAGCGTCAGCCCACGGACTAAAGGGTAATGGGTTCGATTCCAGTCAAGGGCATGTGCCTCGGTTGCAGTTTGTCCCCAGCCCTGGTTGGGGTTGTGCAGGAGGCAGCCAGTCGATGTGTCCCTCTCACATCGTTGTTTCTTTCTCTCCCTCCCTCCCACTCTATCTGAAGATGAACAGAAAAATACCCTTGGGTGAGGATTAAAAAAAAAAAAGCTACACTTTTTGACTCGAATTGCCTCTCTGTGCAATGTAGAACTAAAAGAGAACAATTGGGTAGCTTAATTTTTTGTTAAGTTTCTGTTTTATTTATGATAAAGTCAAGAGTTTCTTTTGGCAATTAGGTATTATTATTTATTATCACATGCCACAAAGGGAAACAAATCTTAGAAAAACATTCTAGCAGGACATATCTTAAATTATACAGTGCTATTTAGTAAATATATTATTATTAAGTATAGATTTTGGTGCTGTTTTGTTGGATTAGTCTAAGGTAGGTACAGTGAACTAATTTGCTTCATTTTTCTTTTCTACCTGTATATGATACTCAAATATTAAAAACAAGCGTTTTCTTAAATTGGCATTTTTGTTATTGAGCTTCTTCATGATCCCTCCCCCCCCCTTCTTTAACCTAGGTGCTGTTACCAGATTTGTCTTCTGAATATAAATTAAAAATGACTGAAGTTCAAGCAATGGTAGAATTCTCTGTGGAGCTAAACAAGTTCTACAATGTGGATTTATTTCAGAGAGGGTATGTATTTTAATGTGAAAACTATTTATTTTGCATAAGATAACATGTATAGTTTTCATTTATATTTAATTACATACTTTTGTTCCAATATATATAAAGAAAACAATGAGGTATATTCAAGTAATTATTTTCACAGAGGAATTTATATTTAAATACATGTTTGGGAATTATCCACATGGGTATAATGATAATACTGGATATATTTAACATGTGTTTATAAATTTATGCTGATCTTTCAGAGAACTTCAGTGAAAATGTATAAGGTCTCCTTTCTACTTTGTAAAAGCTTATACTGTATGGGGAAAATAAAATATATACACAAAACACCTAAGAAAGAACACAAAATGATGAATATTTAGTAAGTATAAGTAGGAAGTGCTCTAGGAAAGAACAGAAAAAGATCTTTCTAGTTTATTGTGCTAGGTAAGGCATTATGGAAGGATAGGATCAAAGTATGGATAAGACTTGGATAAGCAAAGGATAAAGTGAAAGACTATTAATACATTAGCACCAAACCAACACAGGAAGAAATGTTGAAAGGACTGCTGTAATTAGTAGAACAAATAGGAAGAAAAATATAACCAAACTAAATAAAAATGGCAATAAATAAGTACATATCAATAATCACCTTAAATGTAAATGGACTGAATGCTCCGATAAAAATACACAGAGTAGCTGAATGGATAAGAAAGCATGACTCACATATATGTTGTTTACAAGAGACCCACCTCACAACAAAAGACATAGGTTGAAAGTGAAGTGATGGAAAAAAATCTTCCAAGCAAACAGAAAGGAAAAAAAAGCAGGGGTAGCAATACTCATATCTGATAAAGTAGATTTCAAAAGGAAGGCCATATCTAGAGACAAAGAAGGCCACTATATAATATTGAAAGAATCTATCCAACAGGAAGATATAACCTCAATAAACATATATGCACCCAATATAGGAGCACCAAAATATATTAAAAATCTTCTGGAGGACTTCAAAGGAGAAATCACAGCAACACAATCATAGCAAGGGACTTCAACACCTCGTTGACACCACTGGATAGATCCTGTAGGCAAAAAATTAGCAAGGAAATAGAGACTCTAAATGAAGCACTAGACCAAATGGATTTAATAGATATCTACAGAGAATTACACCCCAAAACTACAGAATTCACATTTTTCTCAAGTGCACATGGGACATTCTCAAAGATAGATCACATGTCAGGGCACAAACTAAGTCTCCACAAGTTCAAGAAGATTGAAATCATATGAAGCATCTTCTCAGATCACAATGGCATGCAACTAGAAATCAATTGCAACAAGAACATGCAAAGACATTTGAACACATGGAGGCTAAATAGCATGTTATTAAACAATGAGTGGGTTACCGAGGAGATAAAGAAAGAAATTAAAAACTACCTGGAAACCAATGAAAATGAACACACAACAACACAATATCTGTGGGATGCAGCAAAAGCAGTTCTGAGAGGGAAGTTCATAGCACTACAGGCCTACCTCAAGAAACAAGAAAAAGTTCTAATTGACTGTCTAACCTCACAACTTAAAGAATTAGAAAGCAAACAAAAAGAAAACCCCAGAGCAAGTAGAAGGAAGCAAATAGTAAAGATCAGAGCAGAAATAAATGACATAGAGACCAAAATAATAATTCGAAGGATCAATGAAACAAAGAGCTGGTTTTTAGAAAAGATAAACAAGAATGATGGACCCTTAGGTAGATTCACCAAGAAACAAAGAGAGAGAACCCAAATACACAAAATCAGAAATGAAAGAAGAGAAGTAACAACTGACACCACAGAAATAAAAAGATCGTTAACAGCTACTATGAACAATTATGGGGCAACAAATTTGACAATCTAAGCGAAATGGACAAATTTCTGGAAACACGCAGTCTCCCAAAACTGGACCGGGAAGAGATAGAAAGCTTGAACAGACCAATAACAACTAAGGAAATTGAAGAGGTAATCAAGACTCTCCCAAAAAACAAAAGCCCAGGCCCAGATGGCTTCACGGGGGAGTTTTATTGAACATTCAAAGAAGAACTAACACCCATTCTCCTCAAACTATTTCAAACATTTCAAGAAGAAGGAAGACTTGCAAACTCGTTTCATGAGACCAGCATTATTCTAACTCCAAAACCAGAAAAAGACACTGCTAAGAAAGAAAACTGCAGGCCAATATTCCTGATGAACATAGACACCAAAATCCTGAACAAAATACTAGCAAATCGGGTCCAGCAATACATCAAAAAAATTATTCACCGTGATCAAGTGGGATTGGTCCCAGGGATGCAAGGCTGGTACAGTATTCACAAATCAATAAATGTGATACACCACATAAACAAAATGAAGAATAAAAACCACATGATCATATCAATAGATGCTGAAAAAGCATTCGACAAAAGCCAGCATCCATTTCTAATAAAAACACTCAGCAGTGTGGGTATAGAGGGATCATATCTCAAAATAATAAAGGCCATATATGAAAGACCTACAGCCAACATCATATTCAATGGGCAGAAACTAAAAGTATTTCCCTTAAGAACAGGAACAAGACAGGGATGCCCACTTTTGCCACTCATTTAACATAACACTGGAAGTCTTAGCCACAGCAATCAGACATGAAGAAAAAATAAAAGGGATACAAATTGGAAAGGAGGAAGTGAAACTGTCATTATTTGCAGATGACATGATATTATACATAGAAAACCCTAAAGACTCCATCAAAAATCTACTACACTTAATAAATGAATTTGGCAAAGTAGCAGGATACAAAATTAACGTCAGGAAATCGATGGCATTTTTATACACCAATGATGAACTCACAGAAAGAGAAACTGAAAAAACAATCCCATTTACCATCTCGGCAAAGAAATTAAGATATTTAGGAATAAACTTAACCAAAGAAGTAAAGGACCTATTTGCGGAAAACTACAGGACATTGAAAAAAATAGAGGAAGATATAAAAAAGTAGAATCACATATCTTGTTCATGGATTGGAAGAATTAACATTATTAAAATGTCCATATTACCCAAAGCAATCTATAGATTCAATGCAATCTCCATCAAAATACCAACAGCATACTTCACAGAACTAGAACAAATACTTCAAAAGTTTATATGGAACCAAAAAAGACCCTGAATAGCCACAGCAATCTTGAAAAAGGACAGAGTAGGTGGGATCACAATACCAGATACCAGGTTATACTACAAAGCGACTGAAATTAAAACAACCTGGTACTGGCACAAGAACAGGCAGACAGACCAGTGGAACAGAATAGAGAACCCAGAAATGGACCCAAGGCAATATGCTCAATTAATATTTGACAGAGGTGGCAAGAGCATACAGTGGAGTAAAAACAGCCTCTTTAATAAATGGTGTTGGGAAAATTGGACAGCTACATTCAAAAAAATGAAACTAGACTATCAACTTACACCATACACAAAAGTAAACTCAAAATGGATAAAAGACTTAAATGTGACCCGTGAATCCATAAAAATTCTAGAAGAAAATGTAGGCAACAAAATTTCAGACATCATACGGAGCAGAATTTTCACTGATACATCACCTAAGGCAACAGAAACAAAGGAAAAAATGAACACATTGGACTACATCAAACTCAAAAGCTTCTGCACAGCTAAAGAAACAACCATCAAAATGGAAAGGCAACCCACTGTATGAGAGAACATTATTGCCAATGATACATCAGATAAGGGGTTAATTTCGAAAATATATAGAGTACTCATACAACTCAACAAAAGGAAGACAAAGAACCCAATTAAAAATGGGCGGAGGAGCTGAATAGCCACCTCTCCAAACAGGACCTACAAATGGCCAAGAGACTTACGAAGAAATGCTCAACATCACTAATCATCAGAGAGATGCAAATTAAAACAACAATGAGGTATCACCTCACACCTGTCAGAATGGTCGCCGTCAACAAATCATTAAACAAGTGTTGGCGAGGGTGTGGAGAAAAGGGGACTCTAGTGCACTGCTGGTGGGAATGCAGACTGGTGCAGCCACTATGGAAAACAATATGGTGTTACCTCAAAAAATTAAAAACTGAACTTCCATTTAACCCCGTGATCCCACGTCTAGGAATATACCCTAAGAAGCCTGACACACCCATCAGAAAGAATATATGTACCCCCATGTTCGTAGCTGCACTATTTACAATAGCTAAGATCTAGAAACAGCCCAAGTGTCCATCAGTAGACGAATGGATAAAAAAGCCGTGGTACATATACACAATGGAGTACCATGCAGCTGTAAGAAAGAAAGATCTCTTATCCTTTGAGACTACATGGAGAAACCTAGAAAGTATTATTCTAAGTGAAACAAGCCAAGCAGAAAAAGACAAATACCACATAATCTCACTTATTTGTGGAATAAAATGAACATAACAGTCTGAGGAATAAGGTAGACCCAGAAACACGGACGTAGGGTACAGATCGACAACCCTCAGAGGAGGGGGTGGTGGGGGGAAGGAAGAGATAGACCACAGAACTTATATGCATGTGTGCATAACCAATGGACATGGACATCAAAGCCTGGGACGGGGCGGGGGGGATGGGAAAGAGGGTGTCAATGGGATAAAAAAGGAGAAACCTCTGTAACAAAAATAAAATTAAAAAAATAACTAAAGAAAAAAAAAGTGAAAGACCCTTTTAGTAGGTAAGAGCAGTATGAATCAATCATGTCTTGGAATTAGGAATGAACATGTCATTTTAAAGAATATTTAGGAGATTGGATATTCTCTAGAAGAATTACAGAAGAAAAGATAGTAAAGAAAGGAGAGGTTATATATGTGAAAGGCTTTTAATGTCTGGAGAAGAGTTGACACTAAGGATTAGGGTATTCATTGATAATTTTCAAGTAAGGATGAAATTATCACTATTATTATAATAAGCACTTACTAACTTGATGGAAATTATGATGTGTTAGATTGATGATTGTGTATAAGAAATAGAGGCATAGGGAACAGTTTAGAGGTGCTTGCAGTAACTCAAGATATATACCTGAAGGTCTGTACTACGAATGGTAGTAGTGCCCTGGCCAGATTGGCTCAATGGTTACAGCATCAGCCCAAAGACCAATGAATCACGGGTTCGATTCCGGTCAAGGGCATGTATTTTGGTTATGGTTCATCCCTGGCCCTGGTGGGCTCATGCAGGAGGCAGCCAGTTGATGTGACTCTATCACTTGGATGTTTCTCTGTCTCTCTCTCCCTCCCTCCCTCCCACTCTATCTGATAATAAGTACAAAAGTGTCCTTGGGTGAGGAATAATAATAATAATAAAAAAAGAATGGTAGTAGAATTAAAACAACTATGAGGTATCACCTCACACCTGTCAGAATGGTCGCCGTCAACAAATCATCAAACAACAAGTGTTGGCGAGGGTATGGAAAAAAGGGGACTCCAGTACACTGCTGGTGGGAATGCAGACTGGTGCAGCCACTATGGAAAACAATATGGTGTTACCTCAAAACATTAAAAATTGAACTGGTATTTGACCCAGTGACCCCACTTCTAGGAATATACCCTAAGAAGTCTGAAACAGCCCTGGCTGGTTTGGCTCAGCGGTTAGAGCGTCGGCCTGCGGTCCCGAGAGACCCGGGTTCGGTTCCCACTAAGGGCATGTACCTCGGTTGCAGTTTGTCCCCGGCCCTGGTTGGTCGTGTGGGTGGCAGCCACTCGATGTGTCCCTTTCACATCGATGTTTCTCTCTCTCTTCCTCTCTCCCCCTCCCACTCTACCTGAACAAAAAAAAAAGAAGAAGCCTGAAACACCAATCAGAAAGAATATATGTACCCCCATGTTCGTAGCAGCACTATTTACAATAGCTAAGATCTGGAAACAGCCCAAGTGTCCATCAGTAGACGAATGGATATAAAAGCTTTGGTACATATGCACAATGGAGTACTATGCAGCTGTAAGAAGGATAGATCTCTTATTCTTTGAGATGATGTGGAGGGACCTGGAAAGTATTATCTTAAGCAAAACAAGACAAACAGAGAAAGACAAGTATCATATGATCTCATTTATTTGTGGAATATAATGAACATAACAGTCTCAGGAATGGGGTCGTCCCAGAGATGTGGAAGTGGGGTACAGACTGACTATCCCCAGAAGAGGGGGTGTGGGGGGGGAGATAAACCACAGATCTTATAAGCATGTATGCATGAACAATGGACATGGACAACAAAGCTGGGGACTGGGCAGGGTGGGAAGGGGAGGTGTGGGTCAATAGGGGAAAAAGGAGAAACATCTGTAACGGAAACAAATTAATAAAGAAAAAAAAGTGGTAGTAGTGCAGCTATGACTAATAGGGAGTAGAATGAGAGAAATCTGAGGTTTGTTTGTTTGTTTGTTTGTTTGTTTGTTCTGGGTTGGCTTTTCCATCCTCTTGAAAATATAAAACAACTGTGCTATACTCTGTTCCACATGATCTCTCATCCCTCAGCAGGAGAGCCTAGACTTGCTCTTATGGCAGAGGCAGGAGTCCAGGACAGAGCAGAAGATGCCAAGGCCCCTTGAATTGGCCTACTTGTTACTTCCACTGCATTCGTTTAGTAAGCAAGTTACAAGTTAGACAAGGTATCTAGGCTAGTGGCTCTTTGACCAATAAAATTTAAAACTTTATGGGTTTCTATGTTTTTTATATAACCCATTCCATGAATTGTTTTTTAAGGCATGACCACTCTCTAGATGTAATCACTACTTTTTGGGGATCAGCATTCTGTGGGATCATGCCCTTAAACTTCCTAAAAACCCTTTTGTCAAACAAAATGTGTACTTAAGACACTGCCGTAATTCCTTTAAAGATCTTAAGAAAGGACTTATAGCCACACACATAATGTGATCTTTGTTCATGGCTGCATTTTATTTTGAAATTTTTTAGGGAAACAAGATAAAAATACAGTTTTATATTCCAACCCAGCAAGTGTTAGTCTCTATATTCTCTCTAGATTCTGCTTGTAAAATGACCAGTTGTTTCTTTAGCGTATCTCTTTCTTAAATCTTATACTTAGCTAAGAGCAGCCAGTGGACATTTTTAGCTTTCTGCCTGGAAATTAGCTTGCTCATGGACAAAAGTTTCTTTGGTACACATTGTCTGAATTCTTCTAAGTTATTGCTGACATATTTACCTAAGTTTCATCACTACATAACATGGGTTACCACTTTTTAAATCTTCTATAGTTTCCTCATTATTTTTCTTGCTCTGTTACTATAACTATTATTTTGATCCCCAAGTCAGTGTGACATATTTTAAGTTTTTGTTAGGTATCAATTTCTGTATTAGTTATGTATTGCCACCATAATGCAGCTAAGAACAAGCATAAAGCTTCAGTGGCATCACAATGATAAACATTTATAAGTCTATTGATCAGCCGAATGAATGGTTCTTCTGATCTGGGCTGGTTTGACTAATCTTTGCTGAGCTCACTCATGAATTCACAGTCAACTGGTAGGTTGGTTGGGTGCCAGCTGATACAGAATGGTCACTTTGGTGGACTCAGCTGTTTTATGACCTCTCACATTCTAGCTTATTCTCATGGAGGAGGCAGGTTTCCAAAGTGAAAGAAACTATATAAGACCTTTTAAGACCTAGGCTTTGAACTAGCACTCATCTCAGCCACATTGTATTAACCGAAACAAGTCATAAAGCCCACCCAGATTTAAGGGGTGGGGAACTCCACTCCACTTTTTAATGGAAGTCACATTGCAAGAAATATGGATACAGGGACGGGCAAAAAAAATTGGAAACCTTTTTAAAACCAACCTATCACACACTTTAAGGTTGTTTTTTTTAAATTAATTTCTATGAGCCATTTTGGGGAATAATTAGTAGGATTTAACAACTGATTCCATGTAGAGGATGATGCTGACACAAAAAACATTTAATAATATGTATGAAGAGGTATTAATTTGCATGATTTTTAGAATTACTTTGAAATCGCTCAGCAAAGAAAAGAAGTACTGATGAATTAAATATGGTAAAATCTTTCTAAATGATGGAAATAGGCAGTGGATATATTAGTTTATTGCTCTACTTTTTGCAGATTTAGAATTTGTAATGTGAGATGTAAAAGATAATACTGAAGTTTTAAATCACATTGACTTGAATGATATTAGAAATTAAAATAAGCCCAGATAAGTAATGAAGTTGAAGAGGATGACTGGTGTGGGACTCAAGATTAGTTCATTTCAATATGTTGAGTTTAAAGTGAGATATGTTAAAGAATAAATATTTAATTGAGAAAATTTAAAGATATAGTTGGTTTTATGGAGCAATTTATGAATCAGGCAGCATCCCATCTAGTAAGTAGAGAGGAGCCCCAGAAGCTGTACGATATGGAAGACATTTTTAGGTAGAAATGGGGTGGGACAAGAAAGGTACTAGAAAAGAAAGGATTATTTCAAGCAAGGTTACCTTACTTGGAGGAAAGAAGGGATCTTCTTGTCAGGCAGATTCCACTAGCTTCCTGTGGTGCATAGAGAGGGCCTGCTTGACAGATTACCTCATTGGTAGTGACCAGAAAATTCCAGATTGACCAATTAAGATAACATTCCTAGAAAAGGTTGAAACTGCATTTAGGCTAGGTATTAAGTCTAGGTTCCTTGTGATGGGCTGTAGCATAAGTAACTTGATTTTGGATCTGTGGTTTTCTCTTTAACATCTCCTAGTGGAGATAGTTTGTAAATAGATTTGGAACTGGGTATAAAGATTAAGTGAATTATTGTTCCCTTTTATTGTCAACCATCATAAATATAGCATGTATAATTGCTGCTTTTATTAATTTGCTGTTATTCTACTATCTGGTTTCCCTATTCATGGAGGACTTTTGAAGACTATAATGTTACTGATCTTTCAAAACTCTAATGATTAAAAGCTTACTGTTCTTAGATATATGGCTTGACTTGTTTATATGTAAGAATATTTTCAAGGATTTAATTTACTCTCTTTTTCTATTCTGATTTATCTTTTTTTTTCTTTTAAATCTTTTCTCTGTGCTAGTTATTGAATCCTTACTACTTCTACCATTTAAGCTAGTTAACTCAGAGCTTCCTTTGAAGCTCTATTTGATCTAGTATTTAATTGGTGGATCTCATGCATTGTTTTCCATCAACAGTAAGTATTATGGGAGACTGATATTAGCAGTAAACTTTATTACTTTAGTACATATATATATATAGAAATTGGGCATTGCATATTTTAAATATATTTTTTGAAATGCCTTCTTTGTCTCTTTTGCTTTAGTTTTTACCAGATTCGTGCATCTATGAAAATTCCACCAAGAGTTCCCCACAGAGTAGAAGCCAGTTTGTTTCATGCAACAGGTACGCTAAGGAATATTTTCAACTTAAAAAAATCTGAAGCAACATTATATTGACCAATAATAACTTTTCATAATTATTTTTATGTTTTAAATTATAAATATAGGATACCATAGGCTAAGAACATCATCATAATACCTCTTATAAAAAAATATAGTTGAGACCTCAGTAAAACAGTCTTGTTTATAGGTTCCTCTTAGCTTTTTTATTTTGAGAAAATGAAAAAAAAAAATGTGTGTGAAATTTTCAGGAAGACAGACATTAGTAGGTGTGGTCATCAATTTTATCATGTGGGATGCAATTTTATTTTATTTTTTAAATATGTTTTTATTGATCTTATTTTAGAGAAGAAGGGAGAGAGAGAGAAAAACATCCATGTGAGAGAGAGACATTGATCAGCTGCCTCCTGCACGCCCCCCACTGGGGATCGAACCCGTAACCCAGGCATGTGCCCCGACCAGGAATCGAACTGGGACTTCTTAGTCCATGGGATGAAGCTCAATCCACTAAGCCACACCAGCCAGGCATGTGGAATGTAATTTTAAAAATATACAGTGAATGTGAATGCATAATTTGACATGATTGTCAGAGATGTTTTATGATAAAGTTTAGTAGTATGCATTTTGAGAATTTTTTTTAACTACATTTTTTTTCTGTAACTACTTCAATTAGAAAGCAAAGAGCCAGAAGGCAAATAAGAAAGTATAAAATGTATAATGTTATAGCAGCTCTGTTAATTACTCATATTCTAAAGAGAAACACCAGAATTAACGTGTTTGAACCAAAACTGGTGGCCCTGACATAATCACTGGGCATTTTTTCAGATTTCTTGATACAAGTATACTATTTTATTCTATGAAGTTAGAAAGTGAAATCATTAATGAGACATTTTAGAGAGTTATCTAGTATGAATTGCCAGTTGTCAAAGCATCTTAAAATAATAAAATACACCTACTACTAAAGTTGTGCTGAGCTTAATGCAGTTCCATTTTGAAACTTAAAAGCATATTCTGGAAATCTGAAATATTTAGCACTATCTTTTTAGCATACTATGCATACTAAAATGGTGGTTAATGTTAAATTTTAATGAATTGTATATAATGAAGAGATTACTCTATTTTCCTGAAGACTATCAAAATGCTCAGGGAGGCCTGTTAATTGCTCATGACCAAAATATACACATTCTTTTAAAAAGAAAAATATATTTTTCTTCTTGGCCTGGTGTACATGTTAAAAGATATATTTATTATCAATAGATCTTTTGTAAGTCTACATTGTGGGAAACACAGAGGTTAAAACAACTAATGTTGCAAGATAGATCTGGTACTCCCTCTTTGAACTTCCTAGTAAACTAAATGTCTTGCTCTATTGTATCTCCTAAAGTTGCCAGTTGAAAAAACTAGGAAGACTTTTTTTTCCTGAATCTCTTTATATTTATTTTTTCACCTTTATTGAGGAATAATTGACAAATATAATTATAGTATATATTTAAAGAGTACCATGTGATTTGATATACACATACATTGTGAAATAGTTACCACGATCAAGATATTAGCACATCTATCATCTCACATAGTTAACTTTTTGTGTATGTGTGATGAAAATGCTTAATATTTATGTTTAGCAGATTTCAAATATACACTTTATTTACTGTAGTCACTATACTGTGCATTAGATCCTCATAACTTATGTATCTTATAACTGAAAGTTTGTTCCTTTGATCTATATCTCCCCTTTCTCCCCCCACCACTCCTCACCCCCAACCCCTGGCAACTACCATTCTACTATCAGTTTCAGTAAAATTGACTTTTTTGTTTTGTTTTGTTTTGTTTCTATATGTAAATCATACCATACAGTATTTGTCTTTCTCTCTCTGGCTTATGCCATTTAGCAGAATGTCCTCCAGGTTCTTCCATATTGTTGCAAATGGCAGGATATCCGTCTTTTGTATGGCTGAATAATATTCTATCATGTATATATACCACATTTTCTTTATGTCTTCATCCACTGACAGACACTTAAGTTATTTTCCTATCTTGGCTATTGTGAATAATACTACAATGAACATGGGAGTGCAGATATCTCTTTGAGATCCTGATTTTGTTTTGAATATATAACCTGGAGAGGGATTACTGAATCATATAGTAGTTTTGTTTTTAATTTTTTGAGAAATCTCCAGGCTCTTCCCATTGTGGCTGCACCCATCTGTATTCCCACCAATAGCGCACAAGGGTTTCCTTTCTTCACATTCTCACCAACACTTGCTATCTCTTGAATTGTTGATAATAGCCATTCTTACAGGTGTGAGGTGATATCTCTTTGGGTTTTGATTTACATTTCATGATGAGTAGTGATACTGAGCACCTTTTTCATGTACTTGTAGGTCATTTGTATGTCTTCGCAAATGTGTATTTAGCCTCTGCCCATTTTTAAATCAGATTGTTTGTTTTGCTGTTAAGTTGCATGAGTTCTTTATATATTTTGTATATTAACCCCTTATCAGATACATGATTCACAAATATTTTCTCCCATTAGGTAGGTTGCCTTTTAATTTTGTTGATGTTATCCTTTGCTGTGTAGAAGCTTTTTAGTTTGATAGTCCTATTTATTTAGTTTTGCCTTTGCTTTTGATGACCAATCTAAATAATCATTGGCAAGATCAGTGTCAAGGAGCTTTTCACCCCTCGTGTATGTGTTTTATTTATTTTAGAGAGAGGGAGAGAAAACACTGATTTGTTGTTCTACTTATTTATGTATTCACTGGTTCATTCTTGTATGTGTCCTGACCGGGGATTGAACCTGCAACTGTAGCATATTGGGTCGATGATCTAACCAACTGAGGTACCTGGCCAGGGCCAACCCTGTATTATCTTCTAAGGGTTTTATGGTTTCATGTCTTAAATTTGAGTTTTTAATCCATTTTGAGTTAATTTTTTTTTTTGAGTGGTATAAGATAGGGGTCCAGTTTCATTCTTTTGCATGAAGGTATTCATTTTTCCCAGCACCTATTATGTGTTCTTGACACTTTGTCAAAGATTAGTTGACCATATGTGGGTGGGTTTATTTCAGGGCAATTTTGTTTCATTGTGCCTGTTTTATGCCAGTATCATACTGTTTTGATTATATAAGTCTTATAATAGAAGTTGAAATAGGGAAGTATGATGCTTCCAGCTTTGTTCATTTTTTAAAGATTGTTCTGGCTATTCAGGATCATTTGTCGTCTCATGAATTTTAGGTAGTTTTTTTCTATTTATTTGAAAAATGTCATCGGGATTTTGATAGAGATTTTATTGAATCCATAGATCATTTGGAGTAGTATGGACATTTTAACAGTATTTATTCTTCCAATCCAAAAACATGAGATATCTTTCCATTTATTTGTGCCTTATTCAGTTTCTTTCATCTATATCTTATAGTTTTCATTATAAAGGTCTTTCATCTCCTGGTTTAGATTTATTTCATTTTTTTTTAATCTGTTGTAAATGGGATTGCTTTCTTAATTTCTCTTTAGAGTAGTTCATTGTTGGCTTATAGAAATGCAGCTGATTTTTTAACGTTGAGTAAACATTTAGTACCCTGCAATTTTATTGAAACTTGTCAAATAGCTCTACTCGTTTTTTGATGGAGTCTTTAGGGTTTTCAATATATAAGATCATGTCATCTTCAAATAGTGACAGTTTTACTTCTTTTCTATTGGATACCTTTACTTTCTTTTTATTACCAATTTATTGTGGCTAGGACTTCTAGTGCTATGATGCATAGAAGTGATTAGAATGGATATTCTTGTCTTTTTCCTGACTTAGAGGAACACTTTCAACTTTTCACAGTTGAGTATGATGCTAGCTGTGGGCCTGTTATATATGGCCGTTATATGTTGAAGTATATTTCTTTTACACCTAATTTATTTAGAGTTTTTATCATCAAAATATGTTGAGCCCTGCCTGGTGTAGCTCAGTTGCTTGAGCGTGGTCCCATGTACCAAAAGATTGCTGGTTCATTTCCAGGTCAGGGCACGTACCCAGGTTGCTTGCTCAATCCGCAGTGGAGATGTGCAGGAGGCAGCCAATCAATGTTTCTCTCTCACTTAGATGTTTCTTTCTACCCCTCCCCCATCCTTCCTCTTTCTCTAAAATCAATAAAACAGCCCTGGCCGGTTTGGCTCAGCGGTTGGAGCGTCCGCCTGTGGTCTGGAGAGACCCGGGTTCGGTTCTCGCTAAGGGCACGTACCTCGGTTGCAGTTTGTCCCCGGCCCTGGTTGGTCGTGCGGGTGGCAGCCACTCGATGTGTCTCTTTCACATCGATGTTTCCCTCTCTCTCTCTCTTTCTCTCTCTCCCTCCCACTCTATCTGTACAAAAAATGGAAAAATGTCCTCGGGTGAGGATTAAAAAAAAATAATAATAAAAAAAAAATAAAATTAATAAAACAACATGTGTGTATGTGTGTCTGTGTGTGTATACTTTTTTTAATTCCTCACCCGAGGATATTTTTCTGTTTATCATTGGATAGAGTAGGAGGGAGGGAGAGAGAGAGAAAGAAAGAAACATCAATTGGTTGCTTCCTGCACATGCCCTGACCAGGGTGGGGATTGAACCTGCAACCCAAGTACATGCCCTTGACAGCGAGTTGAACCTGAGACCCTTAGGTGTGTGGGCTGATGTTCTAACCACTGTGCAACATTGGCTAAGGCAGATTTTGTCAAATGCTTTTTCTGCATCTGTTGAGATGATCATATGATTTTTCTTCATTTTGTTTGTGGTATCATGCTTGTTAATATGTATATAGTTTTTAAAACATATACCCCCAGCACAAGTATTTCTTTCTAATTTTTTAAAATATTTTTTATTGCCCTAAACCAGTTTGGCTTAGTGGTTATAGCATCAGCCTATGGACCAGAGAGTCCCGGGTTCATTTTTTGCTAAGGGCACGTACCTCGGTTGCACTTTGTCCCTGGCCCTGGCTGGGGTCGTGTGGGTGGCAACCAGTCAATGTGTCTCTCTCACAT